ACGTTTGCTAGCTAACTAACAATACGCTTTAAAAACAACTTTCTGACAAAATTAGAAACTTCTATCTGCAACCAGGTGCTGGGTAGAGAAGGAGTGTGAAGGCGTCAGCATGCTTCAGTTCGGCTGGCGCCTAGCTGAACTCGGCTAGCCGAACTGAAAGTGTCCTCACATACTCCCTTAAAAGACCTTTGCTTGAAAAACAAGAAAAAAGCTAAAATAGTACTGTTTGTCCATTTTGAGACGCCGTATCAAGTATACACTTCCTCAAAATAGTCAGAATTAATCTAAGATAATTCAAGAAATCTGTCATTAATTTTATCATTTTTGCTAAAGAGATCTTAGTCGCGCAATTTGACATCTAACAAAGATGTTTGATGCAGTATTTTTCAATGAAAAAATGTGCATAAAAACGAGTCGTCTCGTTGAATGACAACAAAGATTTTATTGAAGAATCCCTGCTGTTGACCAATCATCAACGAAGGGGTGTAGACTTCAGCTCCGAACTTCGGCTTGCCTCCAGAATTTGTTTTGTGTGCCTGAACAGCTGAAAAAACCCTCACCAAAGTCCAAAACGAACAAAAACGTCACAAAATGTCGTCATAATATATGTACAAACTCTACCAAACTGTTTCGTCTGGGAAGCATGTGGACGCCTTTACAGGGTAGAGAGGAGTGTGCTCTCTGTAAGTTCTCTGAGTTGAGGAGGCACAATGGCTGTTATTGTGCTGAACCTCGCTGTGGGCCACTGGGCCAGTCTGTGCTGGGCTAAAGTACACGTACTGATCTGCTTCTGTTCCAGACTTGCTCGCTGTTGGACTGACTGGCTGTGACTTGGTGTGCTTTATGTTTGGCATTTGAACTGCAACAGACAGGAAAGGATGTCCTTCCGTCCTAAAAGCTCACTCTGTGACCCGCTCTATAAAAAACGTCTTCCATCCGCCTCAACCTAAGTGTGTGTACACAAAGGGTCAAAGTTCATCCATAGGCACCTACATTATTCCTGACCCCTGGCAGAGGCCTGAGTTCATATCTATGTTTGGTTATGTAATTCAGCTATCACTTTCAAAATGACTTTTGAGACCCCAGGCACAGTATATTCACAGAAATATGAGCATGAGCTCTTGTTGAGCTCTAGGCCTATTCTACTGGCTATTCAGGGTGAAAGGAGACCCTTTGTGTAGGTCTCATTTGCCATTGTTCAAGTGTGATTATATAGGCTAGGTTTCATGGTCACTAATGGTCTTGAGGTATAGTGGTGTTGTTTATCTCCATGGTGATTGTCAGCATTACTGGGAGAACTGTCAGCCAAAGACAATGAGATTAGGCAGGAAGGGGAAGTTTGAGGTTTTGTGATTTAGGGCATCTTTACGTACAAAGATGTAGCCTACTGCTACTACATCACATATCACTTCTGTCACACAGACAAGGCTGAACACACTGCAACTGAACAGGCTCATGACTTTCAGCAGTACAGCGATGCACAAAGATGAGTGATGACACGCATAGACATGCATGGAAAGCTATTCAGTTCCAGAGTCCCATGGAGTTGTGTGTTCCTAGTAGGGACGGCCAATGATCTGTGATTCAGAGGACAAACACACACAGAGCAGTAGTTCTCCTCATGTCTGTCTGTGTCTTCATCACTTTTGTTACATGCTGATGAGAGAAGTACATGAAAATATAGGCCTAGCTATTGGCTACAACTGGAGGTGTTGAATAAGACTATTTTCTTACATGCTGATTTGTGCTCTTGTTTTTTTTTAAGCGTTATGATTTGTTTGAAGTGTTTTAGAAGTTCGTTCTTCTGTGCTGATCCTAAAGTAAAGTACCTAAAGGGATTGTGGGGGTCTGGGGGACACTGCCTTTCTCAATTTCTTCCCCAAATCTCCTTAAAGCTGGAATCCTTAATGGTGAAATTGCCACGTCAGTTTGCGATATTACAACAACAAAGAAGTTACTGAAAACAATAAACACTGTTCTTTCATTGCACGCTCAATAGAAGGGCACCATGTAAAAAATTAATAAATAAAAAAAAACATGCTGCACGATACTCCTCAGCTCGGCAACAATAACGGCGGTGGGGCGGCCCCTACTGCGAACTCCATCTTTAAAGATGCAGTCCGGGATCTTAAGCACAACAAATTCGTAACATATTGTACGAATCGGATTCGTAACATATCATACAAAAGGGATGACGTAGTACACAATTGGATGATGTGGTACACCAAAAAACGGGGACCCGTTCTGGCTCGTGAGCACCACTTTTAACACTAGTGGCTAAAATTATACAAAAGTTCTGGAGCATCACTTTAAGAGTCTGTAAATAATGATTATTCTCTTTCTGTGTTCACTGTAGTGGAATAACAAGCCTAGAAGAGTTAGGCTACTTATTGTGCACTGATTACAAGCTGTTCTGTGGAGTGTGGACACACTAGACAGCGACAGCCTATGTGTCATCAGCAGCTGGTGTCTGTCTGTTTATGGCTGCTTGGTCTCTCTCTGTAGCTAGGTTTTGTTCAGTTCTCTGTGATGGGGTATCAAGCAAGGCGTTGCCCTGGCCTCTATATTGCAGTAGAGCCTCATTATATCTGAATAGGAATACCGGTATACTCTGTGCCACTTTGTTAGTGTGTGCGGGTGTGTAGGATAAACATTCTGATTGAATCCAAGGAAATCATTACATTGTGGTCTGGCCACTGATAAAGGAAATGTCATCCTAAATTGAGTTTGAAGTGTCCCTAAAGCAGGTCTATTCATTCAGGACTTGGGAATTACAATTCTGGAAAGATTATGCTGTAGGCCAGTGGTTTTCCAACTTTTTCAGCGGGGACCCCGTTTTTTTCACCACAATTTCTGGGTACACCATTTTTCCCCCCAATAATTACTTGCGACCCCACCCCAAATCTAATGACACAACTTTAAAATCGGTACATTTGGATTTTTACATCAACAAATAACCTTAAATACATTACACGTTCATCTCTTATCAAAATGAAAAGAAATCAATAAATACATTTACTCAATAAAATTGTATTTTTCAAATGATCTCAATAACGTTTGTATATTGTCTCATAAAATAATCTGTACTCTTAAACATTTTTTATGTTGGCGACCCCACTGCGGTTCGTCGCGACCCCGACTTTGATTACCACTGCTGTAGGCTGTAGTAAGGTCACAACACAGCGTGGTCTCTGTAGTTTCACCATAGGTATACTTGAATGTAGCCCAAAGTGCCATGCATTGTGTTTGTGACAGTCTTGTCCATGCTACAAGATCTTTGATGTCTTGTCCCAGCCCTGGTCCCATCTGTTAGGCCTCTGTGACTATGGAGTGGTCTCCGTCTGCGCTGGGCCTGCCCGTAAGCTACTGCTCCCTATCTCCCTGACTGCATCTAGTTGACCTTCCTCTCAGCGACTCACGGGCCAGGCTAAATAATGGATGAGGTGCCTGGAAAGAGCGGCTGGTGTGAGATGTTACTTACCTGGATAAACGGGGAGGGAGGGACAGAGGGCTTGGTGACAGCCAGGAGGGCCACTGCTAGCCTAGCACTTAGCACCCAAACCAGGGTTTAGTACTACATCCTCACTAATAAACACCCTACAACATTCCTTCCTGATCTGTTCTATTACACTAACCAACCACAGAGCGTGCTGTGCTGAAGTTGAGGGGGCATGCACAGGGCAGGCAGGGTGTCAATCATTAATGAAAGGCGTCCCATCTCCGGTTTCCTTGGGAGAGAGAGGAGTGGGAGTGAAGAGAGGAGGGTAAGGTAGCGTACAGCTTCCAGATAACAGGCTTAGGAGGGCAAGTTGTGTACATTACTGTAACAGGTCTCACTCACTCTCTCTCTCACACTCACACTCTCTCCCTCTGTCAGGTATCCTGGCGGGTAGGAGCGTTGGGCCAGTAACCGAAAGGTTGCAGGATTGAATCCCCGAGCTGACAAGGTAAAAATCTGTCGTTCTGCCCCTGAGCGAGGCAGTTAACCCACTGTTCCCTGGGCGCCGATGACGAGGATGTTGATTTAAGGCAGCCCCCCGCACCTCTCTGATTCAGAGGGGTTGGGTTCAATGTGGAAGACACATTTCAGTTGAATGCATTCAGTTGTCTCCCTTTCTGTTTGCAGGTGTCAGGGGAGTAGAATGTTCTGTATTCTAAGAAGCACAATGGATTCTTGAGACGCCTTGATGCCTGACTCTTCCTGGTTCCTGAAGCCCCACCTGCAGTGGCCTATTACAGGACTAGAAGTGATCCAATCCCCATGCATCCCCCACCTCTGACCAACCCCTGTCCTTACATTCTCTCATACTATTGCACTCTAAAAACAAGCTCTATTGTTCCAAATCTCTGTTTTATATTTTATTCTCACATTTAACAATGTGACCTGGCTCCTCTTAGCTGCTGAGTTTGTACACTCTAAGTAACCACCTCACTTCAAGGTTTGCACAACCGCTCTCAGTATGGACTCCCAACCGGGGACTTCTGTGTTGGGTCCACTTCCCAGAGAGTGTAGGCCTAACCATCAATGGTTGCATTGCTGGCACTGACAGGGGCAGAGGCGAAGTAGTGTCACTGTTTTGGTCCCCCTCCCTCCAACCCAGAGGAATAGAGGAAGGAATACAGAGGTGACATGGATTTAAGAACAGAGATGTAGTTCAAAGTAATCTGGATGGATCTGTTCCAGGAGGAGATGTTCCATAAAGATCTAGAATAAGAACCAGTTGGTTCTCAGGTGATTTAATCTCCATTGAAGTTCTTGAATTTCCATACATAAGTCTTTAAAGCATATAGACCCATGGAAGATAAATTAATGCTCTGTTACTCACACAAAGAATACCGACTTGGACTTTTAAACCTTGGAGATGTCTGCCACCTGACCCTCCAGCAGCTTTGATTATTTTTGTGTTCACTTTCAACTGCTAAAACCCAGAACCAGATCAGAACAGTGAAACGGGCGGGGAGGGGAGGTGTAGGAGGTCCGAGGTGGGCGGTGGCGTGGCATGGCGGAGCACAGCGAGCTGCTCGGTGAGATGGCCACGGTTGGGCGTCTGAGTGCCACAGAGCGCCTGAAGCACGCCCAGAAGCGGCGCGCCCAGCAGCTGAAGGGCTGGGCCCAGATGGACAAGGACATGGCCCGCGGCGGGGGCAAGGCCGGCCAGAAAGGGGACAAGAAGAAAGGGCGCACGCGCAGGGTGGTTTTCCCCAACAACATCACCCTGCTGGAGGCTGCAGCCCGTCATGACCTGGAGGAGGGTGAGTCAGTCAGCACACCATTATGGGCCGGTTTCCCGGACACAGATAGTCTAGTCCTGGACTACAAAGCATACTCAATGGAGAATCTCTATTGTGTGTTTTAGACCTGAACTAAGCATAGGCTAATTCATGGTTTTCATGGTTGCTGTTGTTTTAAGTAGCCTAGCATGAATAACACAGTACAACTGCTCTATAAACACAAGGGCAATTCCACAATAACAGAGTGATGCTGAGACTTCGATTTTTCACTTTAAAATGTATGTTGAACAAAAACCAATGATTGCAAAGTTAAACAAACCATACAACTCTATGCACAAGGACTACCTTTAACAATTTCCACAGAAAATTGTACAAAAACACATTTACTTAAAGTGCAGATGAAAAGTTTGTTAACAGAATGACAGTTTGTGCTGCATCACACTGTTATCGTGGAATTGCCCAGAAGTTACAGAGGAAATTATTCATGCATATTTTTTTGAGACATGTCATACGTTTAAACTTATCAGACCAGGCATTTGGTTTCAGTGGTGCTATTGTTTCCACATATGATTATGGCTAATTATAGTGGTGACTCATAACTTAAACTTTTGTGTGCATTGCAAGAGCAGAGGTTATCTGAAGTTAGGATTCATAGCATAGCTTAGTGAATAACGGCCACGCTGTTGTGGTTGTGTTTCTCTGCAGTGAGGGAGCTGCTGAACAGTGGAGTAAGTCCAGATCTGTACAACGAGGATGGACTCACTGCCCTGCACCAGGTGCGCACGCACGCGCACGCACACACACACACACACACACACACACACACACACACACACACACACACACACACACACACACCAGGTACAGACAGACAGTTGTGACCACTCACACCAACAGGTCAGCCTGTGTGTGTGTTGTTTAGTGTCGTCAGTACTGTCTGTGTTGTCTATCTAAAATCATAGTTGATGTAAACACTGTAGAGTGTTCTCTCATTGCTTCTGGGGCTAGACATGTAACTGCTGCTCTGGACCAAGGCTCTTGCTTACATTCCTAGACCTTTGGGGAGGATAGATTTAGTGAGGCTCCCCTTCATAGCACTGCAGTGTTGTTTGGAAAGGTCTATGAACCCAACCAAGAAACAACACTGCTCTCTTTATAAGTCAAAATGACACAGACCCTACATATACACGCTAGCACACACATACACACACTGTAAACATGAGTGGCACTAGAGAGCACAGTGCTCTCTTTATAAGTACTATAATTATTTATTCCCTCTGGAAAAAGTCAATGTGTTTTACTTAGTAAATGGCTGGAGGCCTGGGCCTATGCAAATTCAGTTTACACTGCAGTTGACTTACTGATACTAGGACACTGTAGGTGTGCATGTATTCATTGGTTTGTCTGTCTGTCTCTGCTCCCCCTGCAGTGCTGCATTGATGACTTTGTGGAGCTGGTACGGTGTCTGTTGGACGCGGGGGCCAGTGTGAACGCCTGTGACAGTGAGCTGTGGACGCCGCTCCACGCTGCTGCCACCTGTGGACACACAGGCCTGGTGCAGCTCCTGGTGCAGTCGTGAGTCACATTATAAACACTTCAACATGACACACTCTCTCACTGTACTGTTGGTCGCAGAAATACACACAGTTACAATATACTACTTTACTTAGACTTGTAAAAATAAGTATGAGTAACTAAGTATGAGTTTGCACACGGTCCTCTGGTTGAACTTCCCAAAAATCTATTCTTAGCCTTTCTTCACAGACACTATCGTATCATATAAGCATATGGTTACAATTCCAGGACATTCTTATCATTTCCAAGTAGGCTGAAGTACTACAGTAAATTACCACTGCGTGTCAGTGAATATACTGTACCACATCAACATGTGATGGTGATGTATGTGCCACTGGTGTAATGAGTCCCTGACTCCTGATGTAACATTCTCCTTGTCTGTGTCCAGTGGAGCAGAGCTGCTGGCGGTCAACGCTGATGGCAACATGCCCTATGACCTTTGTGAGGACGAGGCCACGCTGGAGCTGCTAGAGATGGTCATGGCAGAGCAGGGTCAGATGGGAACCCAAATCCTCTCTTTCTCCACAACCTTATCCTCTATTTGCATTCCCAACTACTCCCAATCACTCTCTTGCCATGACTACAGCCTTGAGCCTTCATCCTTAGCTACCTAGCCCTTCTCTTGCCAGTTGCGATCGCCACCATAACTCTGTGTTGACTTCCTGTGTACCTGTGCAGGTATAACCCAGGACCGTATAAACCAGTGTCGTGGGGCTAAGGAGATGGAGGTGCTGACGGACCTTCGAGCGCTGGTCCAGAGTGGAGCGGACCTGAACGCTCAGGATGACAACGGTGCCACACTGGTGAGACACTAATCTGGGCCTTGAAGCCAGTTCAACTGCTTTTTAAAAATGTTATCTTCCAATCTTCTAATCAGGGACTGATTTTAGACCTGGGACAACAGGTGGGTGCAATTAATTATCAGGTAAAACAGAAAACCAGAAGTACACTGGACCTCGTAGGGTAGGATTTTGAATACTCCTGCTGTAAACCTTAAAATACACACTGAAAACACACCTGGCTCGGAAGAACTGTTCAAAAACAGTACTTATAACAGCACTAACACCAGCACTAAGGTTTGAACTTCTAGTCTCATATTATGATCCATATATTCACCTCACCACTGGTATAAAAGGTTGACCAGGTAACAATCTGTCCTCTGTCTCACTTCACATCCAGCTGCACATAGCGGCGGCTAACGGCTACCTGTTGGTGGGGGAGCTGCTTCTGGAGCACCAGGCCAAAGTGGAGGAGAAGGACACAGACGGCTGGACACCACTCCACGCCGCCTCCTGCTGGGGACAGGTCAGTATTGCAGCACTCAGAACAGTTTAGAATGAAGCCACAGCCCCCTTTCTCAACTATCATGCTATACGTTATGCTATGGGCGGCAGGTAGCATAGCGCTTAAGAGCATTGGGCCAGTAACCGAAAGGTCGCTGGTTTGAATCCCTGAGCTGACTAGGTGAAAAATCTGTTGATGTGCCCTTGAGCAAGGCACTTAACCCTAATTGCTCCTGCTAAGGATAAGAGCGTCCGCTAAGTGACTAAAATGTAAAATATGCCATGATATGCTAAATGGCTGTATTGCCTCACAGACCTGAACATGCTGGTGTGTCTTGTTTCCCCAGGTCCAGATGGTAGAGCTGCTGGTGGCTCATGGGGCCAGTCTCAACACCAAGTCCGTCCTGGAAGAGACCCCGCTGGGTAAGAACACAACTATCAACCCCCTCAGTTAGAGACTGTGGAGACGTGATGGGCAAAGACAGAAAAGGATTGGACAGTATAGATTAATTTACTGTTGTCTTGGTAACCGCGATCGATAAAAGACAGTACTGTGCAGCCGTCTTCATCGACCTGGCCAAGGCTTTCGACTCCGTCAATCACCACATTCTTATTGGCAGACTAAATAGCCTTGGTTTATCAAATGACTGCCTCGCCTGGTTCACCAACTACTTCTCAGATAGAGTTCAATGTGTCAAATCGGAGGGCCTGTTGTCTGGACCTGTTGTCTGGCAGTCTCTATGGGGGTGCCACAGGGTTCAATTCTCGGGCCGACTCTATTCTCTGTGTATATCAATGATGTCGCTCTTGCTGCTGGTGACTCTCAGATCCACCTCTATGCAGACGACACCATTTTGTATACATCTGGCCCTTCATTGGACAATGTTAACAAACCTCCAAACGAGCTTCAACGCCATACAACACTCCTTCCGTAGCCACCAACTGCTCTTAAACGCTAGTAAAACTAAATGCATGCTCTTCAATCGAACGCTGCTTGCGCCCGCCCGACTAGAATCATTACTCTCGGCGGGTCTGAGTTAGAATATATGGACAACTACAGTGAGGGAAAAAAGTATTTGATCCCCTGCTGATTTTGTACGTTTGCCCACTGACAAAGAAATTATCAGTCTATAATTTTAATGGTAGGTTTATTTGAACAGTGACAGACAGAATAACAACAAAAAAATCCAGAAAAACGCATGTCAAAAATTAGGGGTGTAACGATTCATTTTAACAACGATTCGATTTGTATCACGATTCGTGGTTGTCGATACGATTCAAGGACGATATTGGTTCATTTAGAACGATACGATCCGAAACGATTCAGTGACTTGAAATCGATTCAGTAACCTTTTAGCCAAAAATTCAACCAGTGTGACTGAAATAAATGCCTGGATACTGGACAGTGCAGGTGAAGTTTCCTAGATTCCTGTTTCTTGTAAGGACCGCAATGGTGGCTTGATAATTTCTCGCTTGTCGGCTTCTCCTCTGTCGTCCGCCATGCTATGTTTTGTTGTCTTTGCGCCTTTGCGCTGCTGCTGGCGCGGGGCGATGACGTCACGGATAGGCAGACTGAATCGAGTAATGTTTAAAGCCTTTATCATTAAAAGTGCTAAGAAAAAACATCCATATAAAGTCTGACGTGCTTAAATCCAATGGGTTATTTCCTAGTATCGATACAATCGATTTATTACATTTTAAAACAATGTTAGATTGATATATGTTGTCCAAAAGGCCAACTCGCCGAGCACAGATCGATGTAGTTGGATCATAGGAATATAAATCGATACATCGATGTAGTAGATGGATCGTTACACCCCTATCAAAAATGTTATAAATTGATTTGCATTTTAATGAGGGAAATAAGTATTTGACCCCCTCTCAATCTGAAAGATTTCTGGCTCCCAGGTATCTTTTATACAGGTAATGAGCTGAGATGAGGAGCACACTCTTAAAGGGAGTGCTCCTAATCTCAGCTTGTTACCTGTATAAAAGACACCTGTCTACAGAAGCAATCAATCAATCAGATTCCAAACTCTCCACCATGGCCAAGACCAAAGAGCTCTCCAAGATGTCAGGGACAGGATTGTAGACCTACACAAGGCTGGAATGGGCTACAAGACCATCGCCAAGCAGCTTGGTGAGAAGGTGACAACAGTTGGTGCGATTATTCGCAAATGGAAGAAACACAAAATAACTGTCAATCTCCCTCGGCCTGGGGCTCCATGCAAGATCTCACCTCGTGGAGTTGCAATGATCATGAAAACGGTGAGGAATCAGCCCAGAACTACACGGGAGGATCTTGTCAATGATCTCAAGGCAGCTGGGACCATAGTCACCAAGAAAACAATTGGTAACACACTACGCCGTGAAGGACTGAAATCCTGCAGCGCCAGCAAGGTCCCCCTGCTCAAGAAAGTACATATACAGGGCCATCTGAAGTTTGCCAATGAACATCTGAATGATTCAGAGGAGAACTGGGTGAAAGTGTTGTGGTCAGATGAGACCAAAATCGAGCTCTTTGGCATCAACTAAACTCGCCGTGTTTGGAAGAGGAGGAATGCTGCCTATGACCCCAAGAACACCATCCCCACCGTCAAACATGGAGGTGGAAACATTATGCTTTGGGGGTCTTTTTCTGCTAAGGGGACAGGACAACTTCACCGCATCAAAGGGACGATGGACGGGGCCATGTACCATCAAATCTTGGGTGAGAACCTCCTTCCCTCAGCCAGGGTATTGAAAATGGGTCGTGGATGGGTATTCCAGCATGACAATGACCCAAAACACACGGCCAAGGCAGCAAAGGAGTGGCTCAAGAAGAAGCACATTAAGGTCCTGGAGTGGCCTAGCCAGTCTCCAGACCTTAATCCCATAGGAAATCTGTGGAGGGAGCTGAAGGTTCGAGTTGCCAAACGTCAGCCTCAACCTTAATGACATGGAGAAGATCTGCAAAGAGGAGTGGGACAAAATCCCTCCTGAGATGTGTGCAAACCTGGTGGCCAACTACAAGAAACGTCTGACCTCTGTGATTGCCAACAAGGGTTTTGCCACCAAGTACTAAGTCATGTTTTGCAGAGGGGTCAAATACTTATTTCCCTCATTAAAATGCAAATCAATGTATAACATTTTTGACATGCGTTTCTCTGGATGTTTTTGTTGTTATTCTGTCTCTCACTGTTCAAATAAACCTACCATTAAAATTATAGACTGATCATGTCTTTGTCAGTGGGCAAACGTACAAAATCAGCAGGGGATCAAATACTTTTTTCCCTCGCTGTACAAATACCTAGGTGTCTGGTTAGACCGTAAACTCTCCTTCCAGACTCACATTAAGCATCTCCAATCCAAAGTTAAATCTAGAATCAGCTTCCTATTTCGCAACAAAGCCTCCTTCACTCATGCTGCCAAACATGCCCTCGTAAAACTTACTATCCTACCGATCCTTGACTTCAGCGATGTCATTTACAAAATAGCCTCCAACACTACTCAGCAAATTGGATGTAGTCTATCACAGTGCCATCCGTTTTGTCACCAAAGCCCCATATACTACCCACCATTGTGACCTGTACGCTCTCGTTGGCTGGCCCTCACTACATATTCGTCGCCAAACCCACTGGCTCCAGGTCATCTATAAATCACTGATAGGCAAATCGCCGCCTTATCTTAGATCATTGGTCACCATAGCAACACCCACCCGTAGTATGCACTCCAGCAGGTATATCTCACTGGTCATCCCCAAAGCCAACACCTCCTTTGGCCGCCATTCCTTCCAGTTCTCTGCTGCCAATGACTGGAACGAACTGCAAAAATCTCTGAAGCTGGAGACTCTTATCTCCCTCACTAACTTTAAGCATCAGTTGTCAGAGCAGCTTACCGATCACTGCACCTGTACACAGCCCATCTGTAATTAGCCCACCCAACTACCTCATCCCCATATTGTTATTTATTTTGCTCATTTGCACCCCAGTATCTCTATTTGCACATCATCTTCTGCACATCTATCATTCCAGTGTTAATACAAATTGTAATTATTTTGCACTATGGCCTATTTATTGCCTTACCTCCATAACTTACTACATTCACACACACTGTATATAGATTTTCTATTGTGTTATTGACTGTACGTTTTGTTTACCCCATATGTAACTCTGTTGTTGTTGTTTTTATCGCACTGCTTTGCTTTATCTTGGCCAGGTCGCAGTTGTAAATGAGAACTTATTCTCAACTGGCTTACCTGGTTAAATAAAGGTGAAATAAATACAAAACTATAATTGTTGTCCAGACACAGTATAAACATGTTTCAGAGGGACTGTAATGCCTGAATGGGGATGTCCTGACTCTGTTGTGTTTTCTGTCCGTGGCAGATGTGTGTGCGGACGAGGAGGTGAGAGCCAAGCTGATGGAGCTGAAGCACAAACACGACGCCATCATGAAGAGTCGAGACCGACAGAAGGGCACCTTGCAGAGACGAGCCTCCAGCACTGGCAGCAGAAGGTGAGAGGGGGAACGAGAGAGAGGATTAGTTCAAGGATTGAGGGGAGAGGATGATGGTTTTGTTTAGACACATGTAAAACCCTCAAGCTACGGTCACTCTCTCCAGCTTGTAGCTGTGTCTACAGTATCTCTCTCTGTCGTCCCCTGTCTGAGCAGTAAGGTGGTGCGGCATGTGAGCGTCAACGAGCGTTCCAGCCTGTACCGGCGGGAGCACCACAAGGAGGCCATGGTGTGGCAGGAGAGAGGCCGGCAGGCCGAGCCGCAGGACGACGACGAGGACAGACAGACGGACAACGAGCTCCACCAGCACACTGCCATGGTGAGTTGTACTGTATTACGCCTGTCATAGCAACAACAGCAGGACAAACTGCTACCCTGTTCATTTAACACTGAGGATATGGTTCAGAATTGATAGGTGAATGTGTCATATTAACTCTCTTGCGCTGGCTTTCTCAGGCTGCAGGTGCCATGTCGAGGGGGGAGGATGACGAGGGAGCGGAGAGGAAGTTCAATCTGGGGAACGGTGGGACGCCCCTGGCCCTGTCGGCGTCAGTCCCAGGAGAGCAGTGGAGCGGAGGCCGGATGGACCGCAGCGCCTCTTACCAGCTGAGCCCTGCCTCAGGGTCCGGGGAGGGGGGGGACAGCATGACCCGGGAGAAATCCCACCAGACACTAGCAGACCTGAAACGCCAGCGGGCAGCAGCCAAGCTCAACAAGTACCTAGCCCCACCCCCACCTCTACCCCCTCCAGAGGAGGAGCCCCCCTCTCCCGCCCCTCTGCAGGAGGTGACCCCCTCCGGAGCTGCCCAGGAGACACCCAGCACAGAGGAGGTGGCCTCCCCCAGCGCTATGTACTTCACCCCAGCCAGTGGGGACCCGCCCCTGCTCAAACTACAAGCCCCAGAGGAGGACACCTCTAACAACACCAAGGAGCCCTGCTGTGGACTCATGTAGGGACACACACACACACAAACACTCCCACTGCCTGACTGGAAATTAAAGTGGGTGACGTGTAACACTCAAAATTATTTCAAAACAAAACACTACAGTGACGACCAGATTCATTGCAGTTGGATTTATTATAAGCTTATTAGGTTCCGTTAAGCGCCTACTTCCATCAATGATATGCCATTGAATGTTTGGTCTACACTCCATTTTGGTCAATGCAGTTATATATTCTTGCACAGATTTATTTTCAGCTCTCCTTCCTGAAAAGTCTAAAACAAGATTGATCTAATGGAGAGAATGTAAAACATTTCCAATATATGAGCACTTAACATAAAGCTCCTAACATTCCTCATTGCTCCTCTGTTGAGAAGGGTGTGGCCAGAGCCATATATTTACATACATGGATATTGCTCTACATATGTCTATATTGACCTCATATAGAGACCTTAAGTGGCCACCTGGTGGCTTCTAAGAGACATTTTACATTTTAAAGTCATTTAGCAGATGCTTTTATCCAGAGCGACTTACAGTTAGTGAGTGCATACATTTTCATACTGGCCCCCCGTGGGAAACGAACCCACAACCCTGGCGTTGCAAGCGCCATGCTCTACCAACTGAGCTACACGGGACTGTATTACTCTTTCAATAGCACGGAGTACTTTCTTCTGTTTAATCCCTTTTTTCCATGTGTGTTTGGGGCAGTTCAATCAAAGGAGATTATAGTTCTCACACATTATATCAAGCACATTAAATATGAACTGGCCGTCTGACTTAAGTGAATAAGATTTGCTTATTCAAAGCAGAAAGGGGCTAGAGAAGAGTGAATGTAAATGAACCAAAGCTGATTCTTTTACTTTCTTTTTTCAAGCTGATAATCGGACCAATTAATTATAATTTTCTACTCATGATTGACTGAGCATGATTTGAGATGTGCACTGTAAATGGATTTAAGAGAAGGACAGATTATGATCGAAAGTGATTGTTACAAAAGGGTACATGATAATATAATTTATTGATCTTATTTATTGTTTTCCATACACACACCAGTCTGTCTGTTACAGGGTACAGAAGTGGGAGTGTTTGTAGATGATGGTTTCCCTTTCTTGTTGGTTTGAATTTGCATCAAATTTACACAAGTGTGGACAACTGCTATCGCCCTGCCTTTCTAGTGATCAGCGTTCAGCACGGTTCTTAAAATGATTTAGTTTGTTTTGTTTGTAAATCAACCTACTGTTCCAGTGCACTAAGAAAAACCTACATTTTCTACGTTGCAATTTGTAAACAAGGGTTTTGTTTTCTAAATGATTGTAAGAGATGATCTAATATTCAAATTCATATAAATTGTGTTTTTGTCATGCTGTTTAATGTCCCTCCTCAGGATAACATTACTTCTGATAGGCATTTCTATTTAAACTATTTATATGCTGTGAATAGGGATGTACACTGAGTGTACAAAACATTAGGAACATTTCCATGACATGTACTGACCAGGTGAATCCAGGTGAACGCAATGATCACTTATTGATGTCACTTGTTAAATCCACTTCAAATCAGTATACAGTGGGGGAAAAAAGTATTTAGTCAGCCACCAATTGTGCAAGTTCTCCCACTTAAAAAGATGAGAGAGGCCTGTAATTTTCATAATAGGTACACGTCAACTATGACAGACAAAATGAGAAAAAGAAATCCCGAAAATCACATTGTAGGAATTTTAATGAATTTATTTGCAAATTATGGTGGAAAATAAGTATTTGGTCAATAACAAAAGTTTCTCAATACTTTGTTATATACCCTTTGTTGGCAATGACACAGGTCAAACGTTTTCTATAAGTTTTCACACACTGTTGCTGGTATTTTGGCCCATTCCTCCATGCAGATCTCCTCTAGAGCAGTGATGTTTTGGGGCTGTCGCTGGGTAACACAGACTTTCAACTCCCTCCAAAGATTTTCTATGGGGTTGAGATCTGGAGACTGGCTAGGCCACTCCAGGACCTTGAAATGCTTCTTACAAAGCCACTCCTTCGTTGCCCGGGCGGTGTGTTTGGGATCATTGTCATGCTGAAAGACCCAGCCACGTTTCATCTTCAATGCCCTTGCTGATGGAAGGAGGTTTTCACTCAAAATCTCACGATACATGGCCCCATTCATTCTTTCCTTTACACGGATCAGTCGTCCTGGTCCCTTTGCAGAAAAACAGCCCCAAAGCATGATGTTTCCACCCCCATGCTTCACAGTAGGTATGGTGTTCTTTGGATGCAACTCAGCATCCAAACACGACAAGTTTAGTTTTTACCTAAAAGTTATATTTTGGTTTCATCTGACCATATGACATTCTCCCAATCCTCTTCTGGATCATCCAAATGCATTCTAGCAAACTTCAGACGGGCCTGGACATGTACTGGCTTAAGCAGGAGGACACGTTTTGCACTGCAGGATTTGAGTCCCTGGTGGCGTAGTGTGTTACTGATGGTAGGCTTTGTTACTTTGGTCCCAGCTCTCTGCAGGTCATTCACTAGGTCCCCCCGTGTGGTTCTGGGATTTTTGCTCACCGTTCTTGTGATCATTTTGACCCCACGGGGTGAGATCTTGCGTGGAGCCCCAGATCGAGGGAGATTATCAGTGGTCTTGTATGTCTTCCATTTCCTAATAATTGCTCCCACAGTTGATTTCTTCACACCAAGCTGCTTACCTATTGCATATTCAGTCTTCCCAGCCTGGTGCAGGTCTACAACTTTGTTTCTGGTGTCCTATGACAGCTCTTTGGTCTTGGCCATAGTGGAGTTTGGAGTGTGACTGTTTGAGGTTGTGGACAGGTGTCTTTTATACTGATAACAAGTTCAAACAGGTGCCATTAATACAGGTAACGAGTGGAGGACAGAGGAGCCTCTTAAAGAAGAAGTTACAGGTCTGTGAGAGCCAGAAATCTTGCTTGTTTGTGATTTTCTGGATTTTTTTTCCTCAATTTGTCTGTCATAGTTGACGTGTACCTATGATGAAAATTACAGGCCTCTCTCATCTTTTTAAGTGGGAGAACTTGCACAATTGGTGGCTGACTAAATACTTTTTTCCCCCACTGTAGATGAAGGGGAGGAGACAGGTTAAACAAGGATTTTTAAGCCTTGAGACAATTGAGACATGGATTGTGTATGTATGCCATTCAGAGGGTGAATGGGCAAGACAAAATATTTAAGTGCCTTTGAACAAGGTATGGTAGTAGGTGCCAGACACTTCGGTTTTAGTGTGTCAAGAACTGCAACGCTGCTGGGTTTTTCATGCTCAAGTTTCCCATGTGTATCAAGAATGGTCCACCACCCAAAGGACATCCAGCCAATTTGACACAACTGTGGGAAGCATTGGAGTCAACATGGGCCAGCATCCCTGTGGAATGCTTTTGACACCTTGTAGAGTCCATGCCCCGATGAATTGAAGCTGTTCTGAGGGCAAAAGGGGGTGCAACTCAATATTAGGAAGGTGTTCCTAATGCCTTGTTCACTCCGTTTATATGAATTAAAAAATTTTTTTGTCAAATCACAAATTGGCAACCCATCCCATACAGGATTATTTGACACATAAACTACAATGATTCTCAATGATGAATGATAGTTCTTACGGTGTTCTGTGCAGTGCGCACTGCATAAAGAATGACACATAAATCAATACGTAATAGTAGATAAGGTTAACCAATCAATAATAACCCTAGGGCAGTAAAGAAATACTGAAATGTATATATTTCTGTGTAGAGTAGGTTGTCCTCAACCATTCCTTTACAACAAACCATTCCTACCTGGAAACCAGGATCTTCTACACTGCTGCCTTAATTAAATGAAGGGGTCATCGGAACAACTGACACATTTATTTTTGTCTCAACCAAGAACTATATTGGTTAACCTTGTCAATGTGATGGTTTGTCAACAGTAAGTGCCTTCTGTAGGGTTGATTGGCTAAGTGAAAATAGTTTGCAAAAGTATGGGACTAAATGCCTTAGTCAGTGACTCTCTCCTAAATGTACTATTGAAATGTCTCCTTCCCCAATGGAACTCAGTCCTCAATTACACATTTACATTTGTTTGTTTTAATGTAGACCATGATTTGTACGGTTGTTGCCTGTTTAAAAAGATGAATGTTTTCACTGATTTTTATATTGTTTTTTGGGGGGTATGCGGCATGGGCTTAAGAGTACTTGTGTGGACATGTCATTTATTTGTATATATTGGGAGTCAGACGGACAGTCATGCTTGCTCGCCTAATATATACACTATATATACATAAGTATGTGGACACCCCTTCAAATTAGTGGATTCGGCTATTTCAGCCACACCCGTTGCTGACAGGTGTATAAAATTGAGCGCACAGCCATGCAATCTCCATAGACAAACATTGGCAGTAGAATGGCCTTACTGAAGAGCTCAGTGACTTTCAACGTGGCACCGTCATAGGATGCCACCTTTCCAACAAGTCAGTTCGTCAAATGTCTGCCTTGCTAGAGCTGCCCCGGTCAACTGTAAGTGCTGTTATTGTGAAGTGGAAACGTCTAGGAACAACAACAGCTTAGCCGCAAAGTGGTAGGCCACACAAGCTCACAGAATGGAACCGCTGAGTGCTGAAGCGCGTAGTGCATAAAAATTGTTGGTTGCAACACTCACTACCGAGTTCCAAACTGCCTCTTGAAGCCAAGTCAGCACAATAACTGTTTGTCTTGAGCTTCATGAAATGGGTTTCCATGGCCGAGCAGCCGCACACAAGCCTAAGATCACCATGCGCAATGCCAAGCGTCGGCTGGAGTGGTGTCAAGCTTGCCATTGGACTCTGGAGCAGTGGAAACGCGTTCTCTGGCGTGATGAATCTTGCTTCACCATCTGGCAGTCCGACGGACAAATCTGGGTTTGGCAGAATGCCAGGAGAACGCTATCTGCCTGAATGCATAGTGCCAACTGTAAAGTTTGGTGGAGGAGGAATAATGGTCTGGGGCTGTTTTTCATGGTTCGCGCTAGGCCCCTTAGTTCCAG